GTAAAGAGGATGCATTTTACATACTGAAAGCATTTAACCAAGATAGGACTCGCAGCAAGTTTGACAATTTTAGATTTAGAAAAGATACAGGGAGTAGAGCTGTAGATGAGTGGAACAAACTCAAAAGTAGCGTCATGAGTAGAGAACTTTGGGCAGCTTTAAATATACGTTGGACGAGTTCATCAGTTGGAGTGGCTGAGTGTGAGTTGGACCAGTCCAGCATGAGCTAATAAGCTTACTGTCGTGTTCATTCTGTGTAGTGTGAAACGCAAATGAAGTAAATTATACCTCAAATGAGGTAAACTATACATAGACAGTAAGGGTTAAAGAAAGAGTACATACCAGTGCTCAGTCGTCTTAGTATAATATGCAAGGATTTAATGTTAAGAATTAATCTAAGTCTGCCCGAAATGCTTAGCCATGCTAGGTGTCTTAGTGGCCCCCTCTGTAATTAGTATTTTATAACATGTAAACTACACAATATCCAAATCCTGTAAACCCTACATTGTAACCCTTATAGAGAATAAACTTGATTTGATTTGATTTGATTTAGTATCGCTTTAACGAGCAATAAAATCTGGACGTCGTGTCCCAGTGACAGAGACTCAGTGCTTCTCTTTCTTAGTCTTTGACTGACTCCACTATTACTACCTCTACCACTACCTCTCTTCTTCCTTTCCTACTACCTCTCTTGCCCCGTCCTTGTCTGCTGACCTATATATACTCCCTCCTCTCCATTTTGTTAGTATGAATTTGTAAATGGTCCGAATCGGACCGAAACGTCGTCGTAAGCTCCTCTCTCTCCTGTGTGCGAGTTATTTGTGTATTGTTTCAGTCCGGGTATTGTGCCTTTTTGTTATTCAGTAGTGCAGGATAATGTTATAATGTCTTCAGTGTTCCTGGCAACAATGTACACAACCATGATGTCCAGCAACACAATCATTGTAACTTTATTCCTTTTGTTTCTCATTATTATTATTATTATTATTATTATTTTATTATTTTTATTATTCTTATTGTTCTTAGTAGTAATAATAATAGTAGCAGGTATAGTAGCGGTAGTAGTAATAATAATAGTGGTAATATTAGTAATAATAATAATAATAGTAGTAACAGTAATAATAGTAGTAGTTATAGTAGTAGTAATGATAGCAGTAGTAATAGTAGTAGTAGTAATAGTAACAGTAGTAGCAAAAGTATTAACAGTAGTAGTAATAATAATAGTGTAGTGGTAGTATATTCAGTGGGAAGCGCGGACTAGGATGGTCTCCTACCATCAACTATCTCACTCTCACTCCCATTTACTTTTCTTTCTTTTGTCTTCAATGATTGCTGGTTGGCTGAACATAATGAATGCCTCTTCAAACTGGAGAACTTGTTTGGCGTTTTCTAAATATTTTATAGCAATATCACGAGATCTCTTAGTTCAAACAGGTTTATTTTCTGCTTTATGGTTTTTGCAAACTGACAGTCTGGAACTCTCAGTTCTACTGACCACTGGGAATGTTCTAATGTGTACTACTGAAAATGCATTATCCGACTACTGGAATGAAAACTGAGACACATATATGTCGTACTAAAGTATTTACTGAAGCAACGTTTCGCACAAGGGAGCTACGTCAACGTTGTTATCAGAGGAATAAAGCTCCTGAGTGAAATATCTCCTGGATAAATACCCTGGTATGTTATTTACATACTTGTCGGTATATGATACCAACTTTTACCTAGCCACTGAAACTGTTCCGGTGTATGCGACAGGAAATCCTTCAACCGACCACTGGAAATGTTCAGGTGTCTATGAGTGGAAATGCTTTAATTGGTCACTGGAAATATCCCAGGGTTCACGAGTACATCAAATTGCCATTGATAGTATTTTAACCTCGATAAATGAATCCATGGGCAGCAGCAACCCTTTAACAATTACAGATGAAAAGACGGCAGGAGAAACGACAGAAGGGTTTCAACGAGACAAGATTATCAGGATTTACCTCTTCTCTTCATTTATGATCATCATAATTTTGATCAGTCTCTTCACCACAATCACACCCTTCTCCCACACCCTAACTCATTCCCTCACCCCATTCACTCTTGTAACCCAGTTGACCCCTCACCCTCACTTCATTCATGCATCGACTCACTTCCTCACCACGTATCTCACCCCCACTCATCACTTCAGCTACTCAACTCCTCACAGTCATCACGACCAACAGAAATTCGGCACTTCAAAATTTCATCTCCCTGGTGAATCCTGGTCATAGTTTGTGGGACATCACTAGCCACAGTTCGACTTAACTCATCAAGAACTGCAGCCTCAACAACAAGAGAAGAAGCAGTAGCAACAGCAACAGGAGTAGTAACAACAGGAACAGGAACAATAATGACAGCTGCATAAAATCAGCAACAAGAGAAACAGTAGCAACAGGTGAAGAATCTGGAGAAAGGGAGGGCAGGAAGTAAAAGATAGTCTAATTGCAATGATGGCTACCAAATTGGTCTGTACCCAAATGCAGCAACTGTGATAATCATTGATCCTGAGTGGGAGGGTTCTCCACGTTGACGCTCTGATATCTTGAAAGGTTGTACAAGATGACTTACCTGTCATCTGTTTCAAGAGTTCATACTTTGGCTGCCAGACTTCTGTTGACTACTGCCAGCGGCCCCTTGACAATAACCTGGATAATCCAACACTTACTCTTGAAATTTACCCAATTTCCTCTTAAATATTTTTTTTTGTTTATACCGGCAATATCTATTAAATCTGCTTTTGAATTTTTTTTTTAACCATGGATGCTGACATGATGTTCTGGTCCATTTGGTTTGTTCTACACTTCCTCCTGTATCCCTCAGTCCAGTAGGTGCTATGGCAGTTTGTAAGTTAGGGACCTAGTTCTCTAGAGTTTCCCATGAATATATTATCAGGTACCTGTCTCTTTCTCGAGGCCTGGTCACAGACCGGGGCGCGGGGGCGTTGACCCAAAAAACACCCTGCAGATATTCTTTTCAGTTTTCCAAAGAGCACATTCCAAAGAGGTGCACAGGGTCGTGGTGGTGGTCGGCTCAGGAGGGTCCTTCAAGCAGGTGCAGGGTGGTGGTGGTGGTGGTCGGCTCAGGAGGGTCCTTCAAGCAGGTGCAGGGTGGTGGTGGTGGTCGGCTCAGGAGGGTCCTTCAAGCAGGTGCAGGGTGGTGGGGCGAAGCTTCTCCAGCAGGTGCAGGGTGATGGGGCGAGGCTGCTCCAGCAGGTACAGAGTGGTGGGGCGAGGCTGCTCCAGCAGGAGCAGGGTGGTGGAGCGAGGCTGCTCCAACAGGGAAAGGGTGATGAGGGGTGGCTCCAACAGGTGCAGGGTGATGAGAGGTGGCTCAAGCGTGGGCAGGGTGGTGGCTCCAGCGGGGGCAGGGTGGTGGCTCCAGCAGGGGCTGGATGGTGGGTGGTGGCTCCAGCAGGGGCAGGGTAGTGGTGGGAGCCCCGAGCAGAGCCTCCCTTTCATTATCATCAATAAAGGTGCATTATTCAGAGGAAAGCATCTCTTAACCAGGAAAACGAGAACATTTCAGATTAAGGAATGGTGGATGGGGAAGTAATGAAAGGTGAACGAAAGACGCTAAAGAGAGGATCTAGGAGTTTTGGCAGGGAGACTTAAGATGGGGTGGATAGAGATTGAGGATGGAGTGGAAGGGACAGTAAGGAATAAGCGGGAGGAAGGGTAAGGAAGGGGTGAGACTTACACACACACACACACACAGGTGATTGTATATATATATAATATATATATATATATATATATAATATATATATATATATATATATATATATATATATAATATATATATATATAAATATATATATAATATATATATATATATATATATATATATATATATATACATATATATATATATTACTAAATTTGAAAGGAGAAACTTTGGTTTTTTCTTTTGGGCCACCCCGCCTCGGTGGGATATGGCCGGTGTGTTGAAAGATATATATATATATATATATATATATATATATATATATATATATATATATATATATATATATATATATATATATATATATATATATATATATATATGCATACATACATACATACATACAGAGAGAGAGAGAGAGAGAGAGAGAGAGAGAGAGAGAGAGAGAGAGAGAGAGAGAGAGAGAGAGAGAAATACGAGGCAAAAATGTTCTTAACGTCTATTATACAAAAAACAGAATGAAAGAAATAAAATGGAATATATAATAGAAGAGCTAGGACTAGCCCTCAAGAGAGGTTCCTTGATGTCAGTGAAGGGGGGGAGGAAGGTTCTTGATCCAAGAAATAGGGGCCCAGTCCTCCCCTTCCTTGAATCGAATCTGACTGCCACCCATTATCCCCAGGGATTATGATCTCTACGGATAATTACAACAAGCAAGCATGCAGAGAAAAAAGTATATTATTACAGTGAGCGTGACCTGGTTTTATTAGAGGAGTTGTAGTATGGCTGCTGAAGGGGTCACACCGGGTCACATTTTCCACAATTAAAAAAAAGTTACGTGGAAATAATTCAAATTTTTAACGTTATTGGCTTATCCTCAATTAATTTATCCAGCATTTACAACAAAAAAAAACAGTAAAGGTTTAAAATTATGCACCAAGCCTAAATAAAAACACTCCCATAAGAATATCAACTATTAAAGGGGAGGAGCGGTAAGTCGGCGGAAGGCCTCGGTCAGATGACCAAAAGTTCCAGCGGGGGGTGATCATGTGACTAAGACCCGCGTCAGGAAACACTTGTCCTATTTCTTGTCGAGTCTAATCTAACCTAACTGTACCCCATGAACTGTAAATAGAGATAATTAACTAAAAATCGATAGATTAAAAATAAGTGTGACTGTAACACCAGGAAGCTCTGAGCTACACGAGTATCAGTGGGGGTGCAAGAATGGGTTGGTGCATCACATGAACCTGAGCCTAGTAGCGTTGTGAGATAAGACGGAGAGATGGAGGGTGGTAGGTGGGGCAGAGCAGTGGTAGCCCAGTGCCTGCTGTGAGAGCCTCAGTCAACACCGGGAAGCTCACAGAGTTGGATGTTCCGCGCTACACTTCTCAGCACTTCGCCACACTGACTACCACTCTGCTCTCACTGACTCTTGCCACACTATTTGCGAGAACATATTAAACTCTTACTGGTTTTCTTGCATTACGCAAGGTTAATTTCCCACACTGACTTTATCTATGAGCTGATTTACATATAAGTTAGTACTCTGAAAGATTTACAGTACAACTTCTGTCTATGACACAATAGTTCTGAAGAAAGAGGGCAAACTATAATAGGAAGAACGTAATCTACTATAAGTGAAGCAGTATCAGTGGTGGAGCAGCATCGGTGATAACGAGTGATCTACTGCACACTACTGGGCGACGGGGTCAAGTTGTCTGCGACACACTCACACACACACATACACATATACTCTCATACACTCTCTCACATTCACACTCATATTCACAAACACATCATGGCCAACAAGTTTCTGGAGGCGTTGCAATCTAAACTCCGGCTGAGAAACGTCATAATCCGAGAGTTTCTCGCAGAGTTCCTGGGCACCTTCATCTTGATCGTGAGTAAACTGAGCATCTTGTCTCCTTCCTCGTGTGTATGGTCATATCCGATGCAAACTATTGCTTTGGAAAAGAAAAATTTATTTGAATGACATAAAATGGCAATACTTTTGTTTATAACTGTAAACTATGTTACTAAGTAGGCCTACATATATATAATATTATATATATATATATATATATATATATATATATATATATATATATATATATATATATATATATTAATATATATTAATATATATTAACAAGCTTAGATACATCCTCAGTGTGCGACTACCCAATTTTATATGGTAGTTACAGTATGTTTATGTGTATATTACCTTACAAACTATGGATTTTAAGCATTCGAAACTGAAGTTCGTCATCCTGACTTAGGAGACTTCCACTAGGAAGATGACAACAGAGTTCAACATTCCACCGTGGATTCATTAGCTAGGCCAGTTTTATAGGTTTTGTTCTAGCAGCTCTGGTGTTACTGTTACTTGGGAATGATCGACACCCTTCAGAGGTGCCTTGATACTGGTGACTGGTTCTTGATACAAGGAATTAGAGCTACCGTCTCCTTCCTCTAATCAAACCTGATTATCTACTACTCTCAATCTCCTGGCGCTGACCCCTACGAGTTAGCGTTTCTCCACGAATATTATAATAATTATTACTTCTACTACTAATATTAATAATAAGTAGGGAATTACTGTCTCTCATACTGGCTTAATCCCACCATCCTACATAAGATAGAAGGAGCACTGCATCAGGCCTACTGGCCAATGCAAGGCAAGTCCAATATACTGTATGGCGAAACGTTTCCACAATAAGGATACCCAAGTGTTGTACACGTGTTTAATTTATCAACTTGTGGGTTCTCTGAACCAAATATCTACAAGGCGTGTCCAATTCACACTCACCCACACCTATTTACGTACTTGTCTAACCAATTTTTAAAGCTACCCAAAGTTGTCGCCTCAGTGGCGCTACTTGGGAGTTTGTTCCACTAATCCATAACTACTACCAAAACAATGGTTTCCTAAAGAACAAAAAGACACAATACCATGACTGGAACAGTACACAAATAACCCGTACATAGGAGCGAGGAGCTTACGACGACATTTCGGTCCGACTTGGACTATTTACAAAGTCCAGCTTTGCTGTCTCAGATATTTTCAGCACGTTATTTATATCCCCATTATTTATTTCTGTCTTGAGGGAATGAGAGACACCCAAGATCGATTCAATGAAAGGGAGAAGCCAGGCTATTAAGTGACTGGGGAAGGATGGTAAGGGTGGCAACAGCATCTTGGCTCTTTATGGTTTGTTCTCAGTAAACTCAGGATTTTCACTTCTGGTGAATAATAAGTTGGGGAGAACCTCATGCTGCAGGTCAGAGAGCCAGACTATACACCAGTAATGAGTCCTGGGAAAGTGCTGTTGATGGTGGTGGCTCTTATGCCACTAACATGGTAGATGTTAGTGGCATAAGTGGTGGTGTTGATTGAGGTGGTGGCAGTGCTTTAGAGGTAGTGGTAGCGGTGTTGGTGGTGCAAGTGACGGTAGAGGTAGCGTTAGTGGCGGCGATGGCAGTGGTGTTGGTGGTGGTATCATAAACGGGTCACGTTAATTAATGCTCCCGTTTTCTGCATTAATTAACTTAGTAATAAAGACTATCTACAGAAGAACAAAGCACTAAAAATAATCCGGTTTTCATTGAGAATAGTCAGCATTTTTTTACGTACTTGATCGCGGGACATAAAAGCAGTAGTGACCAGCCAGGTTTGTTGATCCATTGCTCCTGACCCTCCACAGGTTGGTATTTTCTTCATTAACACCAGAACCTCGCTGAACCTGTTTCTAACTGACCATAAGGCGCTTCTTCTCTCTTTTGACCATTTAACAACTTGTGGGGAGGGGATGCCAGTTCTGATTTCTAGTTTACGGTTTATTTAAATAACAAAAAGGCACAATACCGTGACTGGAACGATACACAAATAACCCGCACATAAAAGAGAGAAGCTTACGACGACGTTTCGGTCCGACTGGCTCGTCTTCCTTATTTCCCACTTCTACCACTACCACTACTACTACCTCTTCTTCTTCTACTACAACTACTGATGAAATTAAGACACATGTGCGGCGTCTGGTTGTCTTTGTTGTGGACGTTTCGCCATCCAGTGGCTGGCTGGATGGCGAAACGTCTACGGTGGGGATGCCCGGGTGTTGTGCATGTGTCATTTCATCCTGTCGGTATTATATACATTTCTTGTACTACTACTACTACTACTACTACTACTACCTCCACCTCTTCCTGCCTATATATAGCCGTCCTGCTCCACCTCTGTTAGTGTGGACCGGTAAGCCAGCGGAAGGCCTCGGTCAGATGACCAAAAGCTCCAAAGGCGGGTCATCATCTGACTAAGACCCGCGTCAGGAAACATTTGTCCTGTTTCCTGACGAACTTTACCTAACCTAACCTCTGTTAGTGTGACTTTGTCAATGGTCCAAGTCGGACCGAAACGTCGTCGTAAGCTTCTCTCTTTTATGTGCGGGTTATTTGTGTTACGGTTTATTTCCTTGATGTTGCTATGTCTGGCGTAGGTATGTTATGAGGGTTATGTCAGCCGTCTAACAGTGTTTCAGTTTGTGGCCCAATAATCATCCTGTCGCCCACTGACGACCGTGCGGCAGCAGCAACATCAACAGCAGGAGTAACAATATCATCAACAACAGCAGCGGCGGCAGCAACAGCAAAAGAGCAGCAGTGAAGCAGCAGCAGCAGCAGAATCAGAATTAGCAGCACTGCTATGCACAACCCTTTGGGTAAAATGTCTGAAATAACTGGTATGGAAAACATAACACGATAAATAGTTCCCCCGAGCGTTGTTAGGAGCCTTCCCTCACACGTCCTTCTACACGCCAAGAAACTGAAATAGATTTTAAGAACGTGTTCTAATAGATATAAAAAAATCTTAAAGTAAATTTGACGCGCATATTCGGCACCTGTCACAACGAACCACCAGTCACTCTGTCTGGGTGACAGTAGTATTATTCGAAATAAAGTAATGAACGAACAGGATATCTTCCCTGACTAGGTGAGTGAGGGATGGACCAGTCTTCCCTGACTAGGTGAGTGAGGGATGGACCAGTCTTCCCTGACTAGGTGAGTGAGGGATGGACCAGTGGAGTGTTAAGTGAGTAAGGGATGGGTTAGTGAATGGAAAATTTGCGTCCAGTATCATTTTACAAATATTACGCCTCAGAATCGTGATTTGACCTGATGCGGTGCCCTGGTATTTGGACACGTTTAGGGTCTAATCTGCCCCAAAAGTTTCGACCATCAGTTTGCACTGAGAACATGTAAAGCCAAAGAGTGATAGTGTAGAGAGCATATATATCACACCTTGTCTAAAGCTTTGGAAATTCCAGACTAGAGCGACAGTTACGCAACCTTAAAAGGAGGTTCAAAAATCGTAAGAATGAAGGTGAGACAGATCACACATCTAATGAGCATCATAGTGTTAGTTTTCAAGGTTATTAGGAAAACTTTTCTAAGAGTGAACTTAGTTACTTCTGAGTTAAAGGTGAGGGTAACATTACGACAGAACCGGAATGGTGGTGGGTGGTGGTGATAATGATGATGGTGGTGGTGATGATGGTTATGGTGGTAGTGATGGAGGTGGTGGTGATGATGGTGGTGGTGATGATGGTGGTGGTGATGATGGTGGTGATAATGATGGTGGTGATAATGATGGTGGTGGTCGTCGTTGTTGTTGTCTCTTGAATAACTCAAAAGAGTCAAGCAGTGTAACTTGTTCCTAGTTGGGTCTTTCATCATTCCTCTTCCTCAGAATGCAACCGAGAGTAATTAACTAACGCTTAGCTACCTGCTTACTGCTAGTTGAACATGTCAGCAGGTGTATAAAGACTTACCTATTAAAGAACGTGAACCCCGGCCCCCAGAAAGCATGATTTCTGGCAGAGATATGTAAAGACTGATTAGGTAAAAGATAGAAGACTGCTATCAGGACCTTGAAGGCCCTATTCCGAAGCTAATCCGCAAAGAATCATGACCCAGCAAACTTCGATTTACAGAAGAAAGGGGAAACAGAAAGTAAATTTTTATTACAATAAAAATAATATTTATGACTTGTTTAATACTCAGGAGTATATCACGTGAAGAGCCTATTTATTATTATTATTATTATTATTATTATTATTATTATTATTATTATAAGTATAGGGACGTGCTAACCCCTTAAGAGAATAGGAGGTAATAAGGTTTGATCCAAGGAAAGGCAGAGCAGCTCCAGTTCCTTGAATCAAATCCCTTCATGAAAATGGAGGCATCCCCCATGAAAGGAAATCCGGATAAGGATTCCTAAGAGTAATCCAGAGTGAGAGTGCTTGTAGAAGGCAGCTGGCGAGTCTCTAGAATAATGAAGTGCCATAGTGCCAGACACTGAGGCGGCTAGTGGAGACTCCCGCCACCTGGTGGTGACTAGCCCTCTGGCGGTGACTCCAGCCACCTGGTGGTGACTCCTGCTACCCGGTGGTGGTTAGCTAACTGGCGGTGACTCCAGCCACCTGGTAGTGCCTTAGCCACCTGGTGTTGGCCCCTGCCACCTAGTGTTGACTCCAGCCGCCTGGTGGTGACTCCAGCCACCTGGTGTTCACTAGCCACCTGGTGGTGACTCAAGCCACCTGGTTGTGACTCCTACCAACTGTTGGTGACTCCTGCCACCTGGTGGTGACCTGCTCAAATGCTTTCTTTACAATCTCTCAGTGCAGCTGCAGTGAAGCTAAGGTTCGATGCTGATGCCAAGAGTGTACAAATGAATGTACTCCTGTGAATGTAAACCTGCGTGTGTGCACTTATGTGTGTACACCTGTGAGAATACCCTATGAATGTGTAACTCTGTGCATACCTGAATGATCAAAGCTCTTGGTCATTCCAGACTTAAGGGAAGGAGGGGGGAAGGAGTGAAGTTGGATGATTTGCATACAT